TCCATTGATTATATATATATATATATATTTTTATTTATTTGTTTCTGTTTTCTTCAAATTTTAAAGAACATTGTTTTTCCTTAGCTTCTTTTCATTAGCGCATAAACGTCTCGAACACGAATGTGCCCGACATGTTCGTACCTTTTTATCCTTGAATAGTTTGTCGGCTTGTGCGATACGCTGTTCGATAAAAAGATGAAGAAAAGATGTTTTAGAGGAGGAAAGGAGACGTGAGTGTGTTACGTTTGAGAGGATGAAAAGAAAATGAACCACTTAGACGCTTATCAAGAGCACTTATAGTGTAAGAAAGAAAATTATTAATAATAAAGAATCGGTTTGAGTTACTAGTTGTGTATACTTCACTCTTCACTTGATTACCTATAGCAAACAAAAAGGAAAGAAAAATTCTTAATTGTTCTTTCTAGAATGTGCTTGACAATTGGTAGTAATGATTGAATCGTTTTGTATCTAACGTGCAGAATTTATTAAGATAGCTTTCCTACACTGTTACGACTTTATGCTAAAGATTCGAGGGATCGTTTGAATCCTTTTCGTTTTTGTTTCAGGACGCATCGAAGACCAAAATTCAGTTACGCCTGCGATTCAATTTTTTTTTTTTCTTTTACAATATACATGAATTTGTTTGCTTCCGTGGATATTTCAAGATCTCTCATTCAAAAATGATTACAATTTTTTTTTTTTTTTTTTTTAAGAAATTAACAAGTGCAGCCTGAGATTCAGTGATACAATAAACGCAAGGACAATGTTTATGAAATGTTAATAAAGATTTGGTTCACGGTGATCAGTGTGTATACTGAAATAAATTCAATCGCGGTGGAATCACCGACAGAGAAAGCAGCATGTATTTTGCAACATACAGGCTGTGAAACAATTTCAAACTCGATGCCATGGCAGTGACGATCCCGAGCATAGCTTAACATGAGAGATTCTCGTGTTATCATTTGCATCTACTACTATGTATACACATTATATATATAATATATATATAATATATATATATACAATATATATTTCTTTAATAGTAACATATCGCTTAAACTCTGTATATCTTTTCCTATATTTTATCAACTTATTTTCTCTAGAAATCGGTGTGAACAAAAGGGGAGAAAAATCGACGGAGAGGCGCGTTGACCCGCAACAGCATTTTCTCTAAAATCTTCGAAACAACAATTGAAGAGAAACAAATTGACCGTCGTCCCGACACAAAGGTGCGTGTGACATTCATCCGTATCTTCGTCTCAACGTTTGTTTTAAAATCTATTTTCATTACTTAAAATCTACCGAGGGGCGCCAGCGCCTTAAACATTGCACGCTCCTGAACGTGCATGTGTTTCTTTTTTTTTCTTTTTTTTCTTTTTTTTCTTTAATACTACTAGATACACATATAACGTGTGCCTACTTTGTTTCCATTATATTACGTCTTTAACAATGTATTGCATCGTTGTAGAGTGATAACATTATCGTTCGCCGCTGTTATCGTCAAATGTACACATTACAAGAAACCGTAACACAACAATGGCAAAATAGTTGAAAGAAGGAAAGACACAGATCTTTATTGCTGCTATTGTCGAGTATGTTGTCAAGAAATTCTGGTCAAATGTCGAGCACGAGGGGATAATCAAAAATATCGGAGGAGGAAATGTCTTGGAAAAATTTGTAAGATGCTGTATGAAATGGCAACGGACAATTAAAAATTGGAAAAGTCAATTGCGTCTGCAAGGCGCACAACTTCAAGACAATCGAAAACGTTTCAACGCAATATATATATATATATATATCAAATATCTCATCTTCCCTTCGTTAAAACGGAGAACAGTTCTCCCTTACAAGTATCAAGTTACTTCCTCTTTCTCTTCAGAGAAGTGTGTTGTACTTAAAACTGTACTTAAAAATGTCTTCTCGTCTCTGGAAAGGTACACAGATAGAAACGTAAGGCCATGAGAATGCCGGACAATTGTCGGATTCTTAAAATTGGATTTTTGATAATAAATGACGAGCACGCTGTCGTCGGAATGGAACGTGCCTGGTAACTGAATCACGTTGAATGAGAAAACGTTCGTATCGGCAAGTATAACAATTCCTCTGCCGAGGACGAGTTAACCGGATACATGTTGTTGAACTGTATCCAGCACAATGATAAGATAAACGTTCGTAGGTATTAAAAAAAGTTCCACGACGGGACGGATCATCCCGCGATTTCGTGTAGTCCAGCTGCCGGACTGTAGAAGACAAAGGCGAAATCTATGACAAGAGGTAGTCGTTTCGTCTACTCGTCGACTAGTTCCCAAAGCATGAGCGCAGCGTCGGTTCCACCGACGGTCACCACGTTCTGATCGTTGTAGAGAAATCTGGCGCAGGCCACTAGAGAACTATATACTTTCTCCTCGACGTACTCAGCTTTAGCACTGGTGCACGGATACCTGAATAGTCTCAGGTAACCTTCTGCGTCACCACTGACCAGCATGTCGTGAGCTGCTGACCTACTCGACGTAGTTAAAACAGTCGTTAACGGGTAGTAACGATTGTTCCACATTCCTGTAAATAACGTTATTACATTTAATAATATACTGTTGTACTATATTATTGTCATACGATATAATAATTATTATTACTAATATCATTATATATCATAATTATTATTATTATTATTATATAATAGTAATTTTTAGTAATGTCATAATGTAACGTTACTTTTCCTATTGTAGGGCCTCCGTACTTACCAGATACCATGTATCCAACCATGCAATTATGCGTGTACCATTTAACGTCCTTCATAACCAGTGGACTTTTCTCCGATGACAACGCTTTCACGTCCCCTGAGAAGTTTATTTTACGCGTTACATTCAGTCTTTGTTTGATGAAAAGTGAATTTAATTAGAAAAGGAAGCAATGTTACAGAATACTAAGTCGTAGTCCTGCGTGACAGTCTGAAGAAATCTGCTATCAGAGCTCCAATCGAGCTGCACCAATGGTTGCGTTCCACGGATCTTGTTGCTCTTTTTATAGGAGAATCCATCTCTGGACACTCTAAAGAGGTACACGCTGCCATTCTGAGAGCCCATCGCCACAATTTCACCCGCTGTTCAATGAAATCCAACGTAACCAACGTAAAAACTACAGGAATATAAAAATAAAGCTTTTGCAAATGTATCGTACTTGGATTGTAGCCAATGCATGACAAGGGCGAGCCACAAACTCTGAGGGTTGCTACAGCTGCTCCTGTGTCCGCGGCGAGCACCAGGAGGTGACCTTCGGAAGAACCAGCGGCAAGGGCAACTCCGAATGGATGAAAGGCTATGCAGATGCACTCGAAACCGACCTGTGGGCAGACAGGTTACATTCGAGAATCCCCCAGAAAGAGAGAGTTGAAATTTAATTTTGGAAGCTTCAAATGAATACCTGCGTCGTCCATAAGAGTTTGTGTCTGCGCCAAAGAGCAATATTCTTGTCGTGACCGGCAGTGGCGAACACCTCGTCGTCGGGATGCACTGCAAGGCCCCACAACTGTCTTCCATGACCGAACACGACTTGATTGAACCTCCTTTGGAGGGAACCTTCCAAAATGTTATTCCTGGTGGTTCCCACGTAAATGTTTCCATCGTTCCTCCCCGGTCTCTGAGGATAGATACTTCGCACGCCTCCCACCGCCTCTGGCAACTATGCAATGTAACAACACTCGTTGTGAGTCAGAAGTAACGTCCACGTCAAGCTTCACCTTTAATTAAAAATCTATACTGATTTCTGGTGCGTACTTTGGTGTCTGTGATGCGTTTGTAATTCTGAAGAGAATCCCACGCGGCAATTTTGCGGTCTTTCTCTCCACCGGAGAGCAACGTCCCCTCCGACAGCATGACGAGCGAACTAATGCCTTTGTTGTGCGCTTCGAATTCCATTCGCACGAAGTACGCGCCATCCGCATCCACGGAGTAAACAGTGATGAAACCGTCGCTGTCCGCCGTGACGACGTCCCCGTCTTGCTCGAACTGGATGCTCGTCACGTGCGTACGGGACGGCTGAAATCATGAAAAACCTCAGACTCTCATTTGATGAATAACTCATCAACTAGCCTTTGACGAACACGTTTATTTCAACTTGGTTTCGTTGCAACTTACAGGTTTGATGATGTCCGTCCTTTCGAAGAAGCCGTCTTTTCGCCGGTTCCAAAAGGTCAGGTGGCCCCTGCCGTGCGTGATCAACAGATTATCGTCGAGGGGGTGGAAAGCTGCGCCGGTCAGATCTTCCTGCATGGTCTGCAAAAGAGTTGTTATGACGTATGATGTATGACGTTGTCGCATGCGCGAAGTAGGTGGAGAACAACTTACCGCCACTTTGCCCAACAAATGGCCCCATTGCCACTGCCACACCGAGAGTATCGCCTCCCTGCCGGCGTCAACTGCTAATACGTAACTACCCCCGTTCTGCGTATCAACAACCATATATATATATATATATATATA